TATGACAACGATTTATTAGATTAATTTTTTTTTATATGCTCGGTCATATTTTATTTAGCTTCAATCTAATTGGATAACTATTTACAGTCATGTGATTCTGATCACCCGGCTTTAGCCACTCCCCCGTTTTGGCAACCTCTATAATGCGCGATTGTCATTCTCAATTTCTAAGCCATATCGTCAATCGTCGTTTCCCCGTAACAGTATAATCTGGGAACAATGGCATGCGATCACGGAAAAATGATATATGCGTTTTGTATCTACTTTAGACTATATCTGTGTGAATTGAACATGTGTATATTTTTTTCCATTCTTCCATATCCTCAGAAACAACCTAAGACTCACCTATTTTTTTCAGCTTCTGTAATGATCGAATATTCTTTGGGATCTATTCCATGTTTGATAGAATATTATAAAGGCTATTTTTGTTTAGATCAGTCTTGGGGATTGAGGAGTTACAAATTTTGTTGGGGTACCGCTATCCGAGTTTCCGGTAAACTGTTTGTAAGATATAATCTTCAACATCCTTTCGATTCGCGAAGATTCAGAGGGTTTTGAAATCATTCAAGAATCGAGGTCAATTTCATTTTTATCTGATAAGATGCCAGAAATTCAAGGTTAATATTTATTAGACTTAGTTTGTGTGTTCGTGTTGGCATTTTATATGATTATAAAGCAGTTTAATTTCCTACATTGGATATCATAAAAAAAATGTTTTATAACCTAAATATTTTCAAGCTTCGAGTGTCTACACAATTATTTTGAGGCTAGTATCTATCTTCATATTTTCCATTGATACCATCCTCATATTCGTGGTTTAGCTTGCATATTGGACATGGTGAATCAGCATTAACCCCACAATGATTAATATTTTTTTTGCTCCTCTATTCATAATCTAAAGTCGGACTATTTTTGTCACGGAAATAATCACGATGAGATTAGATTCTTTTTCAAATCAGAGGATGGTATAGACGATGCAATTACTATTTAAAAAGTTTTTTTTTAAAAAATATAAGGTCAAAAAAAAACTACCTACAAAGGTTTTTTGCAATTTAGATCACTTGATTAAAGTGTTTTTTGAATTATGTCCCTATTAAAGTAATGAATAAATAATTATGTCCCTTCAAAAGGGACATAATTGACCTGCGAAATTTTATATGCTAAATAGTTTAGGGATCCATCCTTAATATTAGGAAGCTGTTCTGTTCCATAATAAAATCTTACCAAATCTATGAATGCTTTAGCGTATAAAATATTATGGAATGTAGAAAGGTAATTCTGGTCATTAATGGTTTTATAATTGCATAATATATTCGGTCCAAGATCTCGCTAGCAAAGTCCTAAGCTATAAAGTCTTTGATCAACATCATAAACTTACATACACTGAATGGACGAAATTTTTTACGTCCAAAATAATCGTCTTAAAACAAAAGATTATTAAACTTACACAGTTCGCACTCTGTTGTCAGATTTCGATACTTTACCTATAAGAAACGCGAGACTTTAGTTGGTTAATATCTAATGAGATTGTGCATTCTATTGAGTGTAAAAAAAAACAAAATGTATCAGTAGTTGTAAATAGCACACCCAGCTGGGGTTCCTTAACATAGAGACGAGATATTAAAGATTTATGACAGAAACGGATCTGAAGATTTTAGTCAAATAATAAAAATTTTTTTCAACTTATTTACTTAACCAATTTAAATATAATTTTTATTTACAGAAATTATCTCGTGTATTTCGCGTAAATTACATTATATAAAGATTCTACATTAAGTTATTTCGCGTAAAACACGCTCCTAGTATTTGTAATACATATGTACAGTACACTAAGGCAAACATATAATACATTTCTTATAAAAGGTTTAATAAACAAGAACATCTTGATACACAAAAACATAGGAAACATAACAACTTTTCGAGAAAACTTGGCCGTTCGTCATATTACCTAAAGTAGTTTCGAGTATTTCGTTAGATAATGTTATCTAGTATGCTACAGGGAATAGTGAAGTAGCTAGATGTGAACTACACTAATACAGTATAACTCGACCCTCCTATTTGGTGCCGAGGTATTAGTGCATTAACGGACACTCTACTCAGGACTTTTCGTTTAGAGAGAGGTCACCACTCCAATATTCAGAAAACGAATAATGATAAAAATGAAAAACAAGACAATAAAGGATAGTGGGTTGACTTATACTGCAAACATACCTGCGAAGAAGTATCATGTAAGCGTGAAAGGTTTTCGTAAATAATAGACTGTATAAGATTTCGAAAGTCAGGGTATGTGTAAGAAGGATAACGTGTTTAAGAAAAAAAATATACTGTATATTTTTTTGGTTTATTTATTCTTTTATCTTGTTGATCTTGTGACTTATTAATTTGATATATAAGGCAAATTTGAGTGATAAAGACGCGTAAATTCCAAAAATAAATACACGTACGAATATGCGATTGGGTGATATTTATATATTTATTAATATATTGAATTCTGACAAATTCTGTGATTATAAAAAAATTCTGCGGTGTTCTATAAATCATAGAAATCATCGTAATGTCTTCAGAAATACGATACAAGCTTTCTGGTATATTGATCACTTATATCTTACATTTTTTACTTGACATAACCTAATTTCTCGTCCCCATCACAGCTGAGAAATATTTCAACCACTTAAGAGAGATTAAGAAAGATCATGTGGATGAGGGAAGACGTGCAACTGCAACATCTCTTATTAGATAAGTTGGAAAAATATTTAAAGTCTGGATCATTACCTGCTGGTCTGTAGTTGTACCACGTGGGAGCAGGTGTCGTCCTGATAACTCCTGGTGTAGGTTTCGTCCTCGGTATAATGTATGGCAAGCTTCAATGATCTTTATTGAGTTGTAAATAAATATGCGAATGTAAACAATTTCTTTTCTGTTAATAATTCAAGCTATACTAAATTTTTAGGACCAGTTTGTGAAGAAGAAAGCGTTAAAATAACAACAGGTATAATAAGCAATGGATAAATTTCAATCGTAAAATCTTCTTTAAATTGTTAAATAGTTTAATACAAGTGTCGAAATATAGTTAAGATCTTAAAAGTGATGAGCGCAGCTTCCTCGCATCAGAACGAATTATCGAAACAATTGAAACTTTTAAGTGACAATGATAAAAATCAGGTAACATTATTAATATACAATTCTTAAAGGTAATTGACAATGTATGCACCTATTTTAGAAACGCCAAAATGATGATCATATTGAAATAGGAAGATGAATGGTTTGGTAGGTATGTACTGTAGTTTTATGCAATCCTTTGTGTACGTATAGAAATATCCAAACAATTTTGCAAGATGATAACGACCACAGTCAGGTCAAAAATCCCCCAAACGAGTTACGTAGTTCAGAAAAAATGAGTAATTTAGGGGATGTTTTCAATAATGTCGCAACGGATCTGTCAATGAATTACTTCGCTCGTACTAAGATATACGGATAAAGATGACTATATGCAAGTTCTAAATGAAACATTTGATTCTATTGATGAGTTATTTCCAGAAAGCTCAATTATGTTCCTTAATAAGTTTTTTTCAGAATTATAGTTTTATTTATACTATCCAGTGGTAATTTGACTCTTTGCTTGTCAATTACATAATCTCCATTTGTATCTTGGCAGAAATGTACTCACGAACAATGGGATGATAAGTTAGAAAGTTTATTAGAACCGGAAGATGATCAATTTTATAAAAAATTGAAAAGACCATTATTCGAAACGTTACCCATCTTGTGTCTTTTATCATTCTCAGTTAAAACCACTATTTATTGACATTTTTAATTGTCTTTTAGCTTTGATGCATTTTCGTTGCTCTATGATAATCCACTCAAAAGTCACAATAGAATACATGGTAACAAGGCTGTTCAAGCGTCTGCGTATAGGAAACTACTGTAGTAATGAAGTTACAACCGAAAAACAATACGAAATATGTATCATAAAAGGATATATACCATATGTCGTTGATGACACGAAAGAAATGTACAATTTAATTTTTTTTAATGTGCTCGAAATAAAAGTAAAAAAATCACATATAACTGCGCGACTCTGGATCTCACATTTTCACAGAAAAAATCATTATAAATCATAAATTTGTGATCATCTCAATGTTATGAATGAAGTAACATAGTGCAATACATCTTCCAATTGTTGATAACGAAGTCACAATATTGTGTGTATTCCTTTAATAATCCAATACTCTTCTAATAGTTTGTTGAACAAAATAAAAGTCCAATGGAATAGGATCAGGTAGGAGAGTTTGAGGTTGGATGGGAGGTTCAGGAGGATCCGGTTGCTTAAAATCATGATAAAGACAGCTTAACGATATGTTAATGACGCATTGACCTTGTGTAATAGTTAATGGAACTCCCATGTCATCTTGGGTTCCAAATTCAAACTAATAATAATTATTATATACATTAGAGATTTTTAATGTTGAAAACGAATCACCATAGTCGACATTACCGTAGTTACAAGAGGAACTGTATTTCTTGTTTTTCTACCTGCTAAGACACAGTAATGCCAAGCCTACAATGAATTAAAATGAATATTATACAAATAATATGATTGCTACACTGTATAAATATACAGTAACCTACTCTCATACGAACTGGTACTCGATCTTGGGAAACTGGGTCGACTTTCACGATAATACAATCGTGGGCACGACCAGGACTCATCCAATATTTCAAAGCTTCTTCAGCGTGATCCAATGTTTCAGTGTAGGCTACTTCCACGACCAAATTTGGCCAAGGACAATTCTAAATAAAAAAGGCATGTGAAATTACTAACTTTAAAAGGTACAAAACCAACAAAAAGAACAAAATTACATTTCCATTGCTTCCATTTGGTGCATCTACAGTCATTTTTTTTGGACGAAACGATGCATCGGGTTCTTTTCCATGGTTTCTGTCACGTGTTCCTTTAAAAATAAAAATCAATACAATGCTACAAAGAGAGAATATGTTATGATATTAGCACTTACTAGTAGAACCAGTACCATAAATCTCAGCATTAGTTTCATCAGCATTACCGCATCCTTTATTTATTTGCTTAACAATTGCACCGATACAAACTTCGTGTGACATAGAAGACAATTCATAGATCAAGACTTCTCCATTTAACCACTCCCAACATCTGTGAATACTGAATTTTTCTACACGTTCTTCATAATCATCAATGGCGACCCCTTTAGCAAGCACATAAGGTAATCTTATATATGAACAGCAGTTTATATCAGCTACTAGCCAACCGTCAAACAAGTAGGAAGAGAAGGAAGAGACTTACGTTACTTCTTCCCACTTTGCTTTTTCGCTAAATTCTCCCTTTTCCCACCACAAGTTTCGATAAAAGAAATAATCTGACATTCGTTTGCACATATCTGCTTACACAGAACTTGTCCTTGTTCTTATTGAGCTAATGCTGAACCCAACAACATTTTGTTGTTTTCGGAAAGATTGCACATTCACGTGATAAATTTTCCTGTTACAGTATAACAAAGTGACGTAAAAAATGCACCATATAATTACGACAAAGCAGAAGATAAAAAACGAACTAACTGATAATGTGGAACGTTGAGTCTACAGTAGATTATTAAAATTTAGTCAAATGATAATCATAAAAGTTTATCACAAGAGCGCAGTATATTTTGCTCCCTATTTTGCCTTCAAAATTTTAGCAATTACATGATCATTAGAATTAAATTTAAAATAGATGATAGAGATAAAGATTTGATTCGATCTATTTTTTCTTTATCAATTGTATTAAAAAGTTTATATGCCTTTCGGGATCTTTCCTCAAAGCGTCATCAGTAAATTTACTAACCTCATCTTTAATCAAAGCATAGTATCATTAATTTCTTATGATGTGATGATAACATTCCGTGTAGCATGTTTATTTCTCGATTCGGCTTGGTCCAACTTATTGGAGAGTTGTAAAAAGTTATTGGAATTCACACTTCCCTCTTCCAAAACCACCCTATTACCCGTGACATCAGTGTTAATTAATTGATAAGTTTTTCAACATAGATTATTCACTTTTCTTACTGACTGTCTTCTGTTTCTTACCGTTACTGAATTTTTTTTCTCGATACACATTCTGTGAAAGTATATGGTCCATAGTCACCAAGACCAGTAAATATTCAAACTCCTCTAAAACGATATAGGTTTTAAGGTTGAGTCATAATAACTTGGTCCAAAGTACTTTCTAAATCATTAAAAAAAAATATTCAAAAATAATTAATATTTATAACTATTACATAAGATTCTTTTGTAACAATTAACATTGTTAACAAACAATTACTTTAAACTATTCAAAAAATTACCATAGCCGAAGTCTTTATTGTAGAAGTTATTGATTTATTAAAGACAAACCTCACTTGTATACATAATTTTCTCCTATATTAAAATTATATTAAAGATATTAACCATCTAAACTTAATTAAAAAAGTGTTTATCGAATAAAATCACCATACTTATCATACTCTTTCAAGTCAATAAAATTCTTAAGTTATTTAAACTCACCAAATCTATGCTTTCTTTCTGCTTTCCATCTCCCTGTTAAATCAAAAACCCTTGTAATATGTATTGCAAGGTCAAAAATTGTGTCATGTTTGTTTTTAACCCTTACCTGTAATAATAGATTGAATAATTATATTTGATATCTATATTCAAAATAAATAATCAAATATACAGTATAATATTATTATTTAATTAAAATAAGTAATATTTTTTTTCTATTCAATAATTATTTAAATCAAACTTTTAACTTAATTATAATATATATATAGCAATATTAATGACAAAGTAAATAACATAAATATGTTACACAAGCAGCACAAACAAACTAATGGAAAGAACAAAGTTATAAAAGTATAATTATTTTAATATTAGTTTTCAAATACTAATAGTTTTATATTGTTTTATATTTAATTTTTTTAATTATTATTATAAAATTATAAAAGTATTAAAATGATTATTATAGAATTATAAAAGTATTAAAATGATTAAGATAAAATATTAGCTTTATTATTTCATTGTTTTATTTATTAATATATATATATGATCTTTGAAAT